GAAATAAATTATTACCATATATTATTTAGATTTTAATAAACTCTTATGTGTCGTGCACTTATTTTACACGAATCATCGTGAACTGCATAATTCAGGTTTAAATAATGATCAAAATAATAATAATATGATTTACAGTTATTATTTATACATTGATGTGCTTTTACTTGCTAATACCAGTAACGCCGCAATTATTGAATATTATCAAACCTCTTAATAAATCGCGCCCATATAAATATTTGTTTGATGTCGACTACGGTATCGATAGAGAAGTATACTACTATCCTATATTAATATACTCGTACTTGACAACTGTAATGAATATAAGTATCCTAGTAGTAGTCGATACAAGTTACATGATGTTCGTGCAACACGCGTGCAGTCTGTTTGCTGCTATCGGGTATCATGACTATAGCATTATTTTTTAATAAAATGTGAGAGAAATTATATTTTATTATTGACATATTGTAAATAAAATTTTGATCGTGTCTTAAAGGCATCGACTGGAAAGTATAACTTTGGATATAAATTCAAAGAAAAATAATCAGTTAATAAATAAGGGGGATTTGACAGATTATATACAATACGATAAAGATGATGAGATCTATCATGAACTTGTACTTGTCTTATGGAAACATCAGCTAAGTATTGAGTGAGTTTGTAAATTTTGAACATATTGCAAAAAAGATATAATCAATAACTTTTATTCGATATATCTGTGTTTCAGATATGTTCATTTCTTGGATTTTTCGTTCACATTGTATTCGTTTAAATTACTATTTATTACAATTATAATAACGAGTTTTCTCGGAGTTCAAGTAAGTGCGGTGATAACCAAATGACTCCAAATATTACTAATTAGAAATCATTTTTGCTTTTTCACCAATTTTTAGAATTTAATGGTTTTGTAGATACTTTCCTTATTAAATCATAATAAAGAAGAAATGATCAGATATATAGCAATGTGTATAGGTGCTTTCATACATCTTTTTGTTTTAAACTATCCTGGCCAGAGAATAATGGATCATAGTGCAGATATATTCCACAAAGCGTAAGTATATCGCAGTAAATTTATTTAATATAACATTAGCAAAATAAAAAGAAAAGATAACAAAACTGTAGTAAAATATAAAAAGATTTTTTGTAGCGAAATGTTTAATTAAAACTTCTTTCGTTTTAATGTCTTGAACAAAATAAAATACATTTATCATATTTTTTTAAATATTTTGTAATTTTGTAGCTATTTTTGTTTACAAAAATATTTTATTTTTTATGTCTCATGATTGTGTCATTTTCTTTATCATATATATATTTTTTATTTTTTTTTAATTATAAAGTCTGCTCGTTCTAGAATATAAAAATTGTATACATTGGATTACTATTTTTAGATATAATATGCTATGGTATAAGATGTCACGAAGATCGACGCGACTATTGAGCATATTACTTCATAGATGTTTCGTACCTTGTACATTAACAGCCGGCAAAATATATGTACTATCAATGGCTAATTACGCTTCGGTAAGAATAGCTTTTTTCAATAAAATTCCATGTACTATGAGAGAGAGAATACATAATTAATTTGCATAATTAATTTTAAGATGGTGCAAGCATGTATGTCTTATTTCACCGCTTTTTCGTATACACATAGAGTTCGAGATGATTACATATTATAGTAATATGTTAACGAGACGCTTTTATAAACATTAATGAGAAAGTTAATAAGAATGTGAAATTATATATGTATATATAATATGGAAATAATTTATCTTTTTTTACAGAATATATCGTGTGCGTGTATGCACACATCTTATATTATAATATTTAAAAAAATATACTTAATTCTTAAGCCAAAATGTGAAATTATACAAATTATTTTATTTATGTTACATATAGAAATATGCAGAGTTGGAAACGTTACTTTATAAAAGTAACTCGTTACCGTTACCGTTACTTTTTCTGAAAAGTAACTCGTAATAAATAAATAATAAATGAATAATAAATAAATGATACAAAATTTATTTTAAATTAAAGATCTTTTTTTATAGATTTTATAAAAATGATATAACATTTAAAAATATAATCTTATTGTGTAGATATAAGTATTAGAAAGATAAATATTTGCTCTCTCTTTTTTATGTTTCTTCGTACATTTTATTATATAGATTTCTACTCATGTCAATAATCATTATTTGTATGTGTTCTCTTTTGTGTCCAAATGCAGTATTATTATTTATGCACAATGTCAATGCTTATAAATTAGCGTATATGGTAAAATATGATTTTATCTGTAAGTTAATGAAAGAGAATGGATCCTAGAAAGAATGAGTTACATAAGAGAGTAAAAAGAATCGCGCGCGTGTATCCATCCTTTTTTAATGTGCTGACTAAGAGAATACGTGCAGACATATAAGCTGGAGTCGTTGAACTTTGCAGTCGCCACGTGTACGATGAATGTCCTTTTGTGCAAAAGAACGGGATTAAAGATTCCCATGTGCGCGCGAAAAAAAGGAGAAAAAAATTGATTGTTATTATATTTTTAATTGCTTGTCTTTCAACTTAAAAATTTAAATATATATATAAATATTTATATGTATATATAAATCTAGTTTTCTTAGAAACTCCTAAAATGCAAATCAAATTACGAATTTTCTCATAGGTTGCGAAACGGTACCATTCGATAAGTTCGTAATTCTAATAACACTGTTCAACACCAAATTTGCCTTAAATTCTTTCTATCAAGTCATTTCTGGTAGATTTTTTAGCGCTGATTACGAATCTGGCTGTAAAAATGGTGTATCGTCAAATTTTTTAGAAAACCTCAGTCAAAGTTACTAAAATAGGCGTTTTCGATACTTTTATCGCCATTTTTACAGCGATTCGCAATCAGCGCTAAAAAATCTACCAGAAATGATTTATACAACTTGTAGAACTTGAGGCAAAAAAAGGTCTTATTTTATCGACCAGTGTAATTATTGTCTGATTCACTGCAATCTTAATCAATTCGAGAACTCAAGTGATTTTAATTATCACAAGCTTTTATTTCGTTCGAAACATTTTGCATTTAGATAGACTTAAAATTTAATAATTAATCTATTTGTAAAATTTGGCCGTCCCTTTTTGCTTTCGATATATTATATTGAGAGAATAAAAGTAACAATACATACTAAATTTTTCTTTAATGTGTATATAATACAAATTTTTTATTTATATTTACTATCAAAACAAAATTGTGTAATACGTTATAATATTAGAACTCAAATATGTTATATTATATAATTATTTTGATCTTTATACACTTATACTTGAGTTACTTTTTTAGTTAGCAACATCTGATTCGGAGTAAATATTCGCAATCTTTTCAATTCACATTTTATTTTATTTTTTATTTTACATGTTGAAAGATATATTTATATCGCAATTATGGTAATATATCTTTTAAAATGTGGGCGTATGTGTTACGTAAGAAAAAAAGAAAGGAGGAAGAAAAAAAAAGAGAAGGAGTGAAAGACTAAAATATGAAATAAATATATTGTTAATATGTACCATTTACAAAGAATAAGTTTGACAAGAAGGTAACATTTAATGTAAGAAGTATTAACGCTCTTACGGATTAAAAGAGGTCAGATATAATCATGATAAAAAAAAAACTAATAAAAGACTATTATAGTACTTTACAGATCACTGTTGTAGATAATATTAGGTATATGAATTATTATCACTTTGAATCATATATATAAACATGCGATAAAGCATTTTCCCCCTTCCACCTCCAGTCGTTGTGTTTTTAATCTTTTCCGCATGCCTATCTGAAATTATATATATATACAAATATTTGCTGCGCCACGTTTTATCATATGCATCTCGGGTTTTGCAACTTGAGAGTTCATCATTCATATATTATAGCTTTCTATTTCTGTAAAAAAATTAGTAAGAAATTTCTACATAGTTTAGACAGGTATTCTTATTAATATGTCCCGCGGCATTAAAATGATGTCAATGTGCACACGTGTTCCTATATCTATACAGGTCGACGCGTGTACGCGGAGGCATCCGTGTCTCTAATAGAGCGGGGCAGAATGACGTAAGGCGGCCTTCCACGTGCCCGCCCTCGTCGCGCGTGTATCGCTCTATAACCTTAACGCTTTATAATCGAGTTTTTCCCGCGAACGCCAGAATTATCGCATGAGTTCCGTGAACGTCACACAGTTGCGATTTTTAGCACGCTCAGCAAAAAGCGCAAAATAGATGACTTTAATGTTTGACTGGCACATATTAATCATCAACACGTTTACGCTAACGAATCGGTCCTTTTCTTCTAAAAGAGTTTTTAAAAGAGGGATTACTTGTTCAAAACGCTTTGGTGACAAAGATTTTAAAAGGCATAAAAAATAATTAAAATTTTTGTCTACGATATGAATGTATGTCAGAATACTGGGATATATTCTTCGAATTAATTTTTCAATATTTTACATCAACAGGGATTGTGAAAAGAAAGAAGCCGCTACTATTTATAGAATATACTAAAATATGTTTGATATACATAATATAAAAATTATAATGTGTGTATATAATATAATATAATATATATAAATAAAATATATAACTTTTTATTTTCTTGTTATATATTTTAAAGTACAATAAGGGGTTTTTCTAAATATATTTCTTGCATATATATTATATAGATGAAAAATATAATATGCAAAAGAATATATCGGTACAAAACTGTACAATATGCCAAGACTATGAAAATTAGTAACAAAATATAGCAGTCTGAATAATTAAGACAAACTGTACACATTGAGATGCAGATACTTGTTACCTGCTCAGATTTCCACGCATTAACATGTCAAGGACACAATCGTATTTATTTATTACATATCATATGGTTGCGCGTCACGCCTTGCACGTGGTATAGGAGACTCGAGACTCGAGACTCGAGGTCAAAACAATCTCAAATATACATGCCGCGCCGCGGGTGGGAGAATGGAGGCTTTGGCATTATTTCGGTGCAGGCACGTGTAGTGACGTTAACGGTAATCAGGTCATCGCCTGCATCGATCGTGTCGCCACGCGCGGAGGGCGGAAGGATATCCACGTGTAGGACACATAGGTCATCATCAAAACGCCGGATGTTACTCCAAAGTCAATAGTGGGATATTAAAAAAGATACGCCAACTCGCTGACAATAGAGATGGCACGACTTGATACGCATTTTGCGGAAGTTTGAGTTATAACAAAGATAAAGATTCCTATTGTCTTTTGTGTATGAGTTCTCCGTAATTATCTACAACAATTATATAACAGTATTCCCCGAGCCTGTATGGTAATTAACAGATTTAAGAGCGTTATATGATTTTTGGCAAATTTTTATCGCGTACATAAATAATTTAAACAATTTTAAAGAAAGAAAGTAGATTACATATAAATAAGATTAAATATATGCTATTAACTTTTGACGTAGCCAATCCGTCCAGTTCCTCCTTAAAATCGTACGCCATTAAAAAGTTCTAATGTATTTAATAAAAAGTTAAATATCTGAATATATATACGTATATGTATATTCTTTTCTATTGCAGATAAATTATTTTTATTCTTTTATTAAACAATTTTAAATAAGCTTTTCCTGATGAATATCTCAAAATTTATGTTTTAGAATTTTTATCAAATGGCGCCGACTATTTGCGTAGCAGAATTTCCGATGGTCGGAACCACCGTTAACACATACATTCACCGGCGACGAAGATCTCAAAATGGAATAAACATCGCTAAACGGCAGAAATTTTCGCTGGAACAGATGATACTGCAAATTGGGACCATCATTGAAACATCCCTAACATCTCGTGAAAATTATTTACGGAGATTAGAATATATGAATATGATTCCAAACTGTTCTATTCCAGATAAAAGTACGAAACATCCAACAAATACGAACGAGTATTACAAAAAACTTGTCAAGCCAAGAAAAGGTATAAAATTATTAAATTAATTTTAATCCAAATTTTTAATCCAAAGTATTGAAGCAAAGAGATATCGCGAACTTTACAATAAACACTGGGGCACGTATTTTCGACTTGAGACAAGAGTGTGAAATTTCTGTTATAACGATATCTTTTGCTTCATATCATGTGCAAAGATTCGCTCGAAAATACAAAGACAAAAACAAATAGTACAAAGCTAAACAAATTCATTTTTAGATTATCGGAACTTTTTTTACGACGTAATTTTATTTTGTTATGAAAAGTCATTTTATTTTACGTTCTCGTTATTGAGAAGCATTTCTGATATTTTAAATTATTCTCGCAGATCTTTTGAATATTATCATACGCACGATAATTCTCGTGCAGCGCAATCGTATCCTTCAGAGACGTCTAAACGCATTACGAGCAGAGACACGAAGATTTCTCCGTTCTGTATTAAATAATCCGGAAAAGCAGTGTCAAGAACGAAGATTGCAAATGTCGACATATTCTGAGGATGAGATTGTTTCATCAACTACGGAGAAAGTCTCGACATTATTACCTCCACTCAATTCCGATTCGAACAAGAACTTGTTTCACGAAGCTGTTTTCGCTTGCAATAATCTTGATCATACCAATGATAAATCCAATTTGATTAATCTTCAGATTCAAACAGAAGCGAATGTTAAGTTTTTAGGATCTGAAGCTAATAATTTCTCAGATGACGCATAAGTAAGCAAAAAAGTTGTTTAAAAAAGAATGTCCTCCTCATATAAAAAAATATATAGTTTAGATATACATATTTTATTTCAGAAGATAGATTTCTCTCTAAACAAAATATTTTCCTATTTTTTATAACATATAATGTTAAAAAATTGACAAATATTTTTTGAAAGTTACTCGCGAAATCTAATATCTAAAGTATAAAACTAAAGGTATCATTAGATTTTTTCCTATATGGGATGTTTTAGAATTGGCGGAAAGTAGACTTATAACTTATATTTCTTGTGAAATTCGTAATCCTTTTTTTTGTAGAAGAATTAAATATTTAATATAAAAAATTGAGAGAAGGATGATATCGAAGTTCTCCTCAGTATTGTCGTTGAAGAAAAGTGACTTTCAATTTCACAGAGAAAACTATGCTTTAAATCCATTTCTCGTCAATTCTGATACATTTTTTATATCCACTTTTAAATCCAAATTGCAATATTATCGCGATAGAGACTATTGAACGGATAGATTGTTTCTAGCAACAAGTTCGATCCAAAACTTTATATTAAAGAATTTAATGTTATATTGAAATATATATCAAGTTGTAAAAATTTCAGTGAAAGATAAATAACCTTACTACACACATTGTGAAATACTATTCCAATTTTCGATAAACGTAAAAAATTGCATATTTCTAATTTATATAAAATAAGAGAGATCCACCAGTGTAAAGTATTATACATACAATTAGTCTTTTTTTCTCTTTTGAAATATGGTGAAAAATTATTTTGTAAATGTTAGTGTACAAGGCACTTTTTACGCATTTTCTTCCAGCGCGGAGACTAACAATTATATTAACAATGATTTAACGCTGCTTGTGAGAATAGTACTCAAACGAATGAATGATTCCGTAAAATTAATCGTAAGATTTTAAGAAAAATAGTACAAGTATTATGTCTGCATGAATGTCAGTTTGTGGGCATTAAAAATAAATTTTTAGAACTAAATTTTAGATTACTAAATATTTAGAAGTGTGCTATGAGTCTTTAAAAATGTGATTCCCTAATCGCTTTGAATAGTATGAGTAGTTGTGGAAAAAACGCCATCTCTATAATTAATCTAATTTATTAGAATTCTGGCAGTTAAGCTATCCGTACATAATCTTTTATGAATAATCACATAATCATTAGAAGATATAATGAATGTTACAAAATAATTCGCTAACTGTCCAGTAATAAGCTAATAAAGGACGAATAATGTTAAAATGTGACATATATTTGGTAGCATTAATACGTAAATTAGATATCATAAAGCTTTCATAATTTAAAAAATTGTTGATGCTAATGCTAATTTACCAATTGATTTCTAACGATTAGTTGGATTATGAAATAATTCTAATTGGATAAGATAAAATTATTGGTGAAATTAATGTATTATAGTCATTGAAATTTACATTGAATTTCAATATACATATATGGCAATTTTGTTGAATGTATCTCTGATAGAAATTTTCTTATATAAAAAATTTTTGCTATAAAATTTTAAATAATCTAAGCAGCCAGCAACACTTCGTAATCAATAGCGGTGACGATCTATAATTCTCATAATATTCGTAAATGTTTCGTGACATTATTTGTGCGTATAGTATAATTTTTATATGTATAATCACAGTAATGTTAGAGTTAAAAGTCAACTGTTTTATGAAAGAAGACTTTCTTGGATTTAGGAGCATCTGTATAACATTTAATTTAGTAATTTAAATATTATACTAAACTATACCCTTTTACTATCATGGCTGTGAAGTCTGTATTTGCATTCGTAATGCATTGTCCCTTTTACAATTTTGTCGAACGGATGTTCTAGTTATTATATATTAGAATATACACAATTTTTCACTAATGTACAATAGCTTAATATCACAGTACATTAGCTATATATAACATATTGGTCACAGATAACTATATAATTATTAAACTATTGAATAATATAATGAATTCTTTTTATGAAAAATAACGGATAAAAAGATTAATATTTGTAATAGAAACTAATATCAAATTTCGACGTAACGTAATCTATATTAAGAAAAACTTGAAAGAAGAAAGAAAAATTGATTATTTTATGTTACATTCTTGCATTAATTTGGTACATCACCTTTCGATGTATAAACTATGTAAAATTATTGAAAATTTTAATTAGACTTTATTAAACTTAATTAGAATTTAATAATTTTTTCTTTTTTTTTATAATTAATAAGAATCGAAAGCAATGTTAACACTGCATTTAATCCATCTTAGAACTGTGTGATAATCATAGTATATTTCAGGGATATAACTATAAATTTCATATTGAAAATCATGTGATAGCATTATTCAATCAAACTGTATGCTAATAGAGAGAATTTGTGCCTAAGGTGCATGTACGCGCTACTTTTCGATCACTACAAGCAATACAAATATAAATATTTATAATAGGCAGCGTTTAGATAATATTTAGATTCAATGTGTGTACTGATTATAAATCTAACTTCCATCCTAATATTTCCTACAGACGTAGAAATACTTTATTGTCAACATGATCAGTGTTTTGTAAACTTGATCTTACATACATGACATAATGGACATATGTATGTGCAAATAAATACAATATAAAAACATTTACTATAATGTTTTGGTATATCTCACTATGCTTGATCATTTTCTTTAGCAAAATATTCTTTATTAAAACGGCATTAAATATATATATTCCTAAATGACAGTAATTTGATATAAAGTTTTTATTAATTTATGAATAATATATCATTAACTTGTGAATTAAAACCAATCAAAAGTACATATACATTGTGATATTATTGTTTAATCATCATCAAATATCAACATTTTAAACAAATTTTTACTATCATAAAAATGCTAAATTATATTACAATTAATATAATTATATTAAAGAAAGAAAGTAGTATTATAATAACTTTTACTACTTTAGTCTTTTTAATGATCTATTTTTATTTTAATGTTGTTCTTTTAACATGTAGTAAAAAAATTAAGACAATTTAACAATAAATAAATAGGTCTCTTAATAATGTATTATAATATAAACATACAATAAAAGAGATTCAAAGCCAAATCGCACGATAATAAGCAAAGGTGAAAAACTATTAAAGAATTGAAGAAAGATAATTTAATCATAACTTTATGGTTATCACTGATTTATCACTGTTTTATTTCAAATTTTATTCAGTTTTAAAGATTAATAAAATAATTTTATAAAGATATATTATATGCTAAACACTGTATACAAGAGATTTGATCTGTGTCGTGCAAAACTTACTCTCTAATATCCATAAACTGAATTTTTTATATTTTTTTCTTTGAAATGTGATGCTAGTTTCTAATTGCTGTTAATGCGCTTCTGGTGATTGAGATAAGAGTACTACCAAAACCCACAATTGGAGTAATCCCTGCAAAAATATATATATTATAAATTATAGTAATATTTATATTATTAATGACAATAAATATACATGCACTTTACCATATAAATCAATACTAAAATTCGAGCTAGTGGATATCTCCTTAAAAAAACTCCTGTTCGAATGCTTATAGCATCCAAAGAAGAATAAGCTCTCTTTACTCTTCTGGTAACACTGGTATCAAATGGTGTTTCCATAAAAAGTGTGGGAACTTGAGCTTTTGCATCGTCTGTATCGTTTATATTATTATACATTATGTTTCTTCGTAAATTGCCTGCAGCATTCCTATATTCATGCTGTTACAAAGCTACTATTAGTATAAAGATATTTTAACAATAGATGTCAAACTTTAGGAGTGTACTATTGTAATTACTTCGATTTTTTCAAGTTGGAAACGTAATGCATTTCTTTCTGTAGTTAAACATTCCAATGCTTGTTGTTTTCTGACCAAAGTTTCTGTAAGAGATGCTATTCTCGTATCCATTTCACTATTTGGCATTGCTGATGTAGACAGCTGTAATTTAAGCCTAGAAATCTCTGAATTCTGTTTTTGTAATTGTAAACTAAATTCATTATGTTGATTAATCAATTCATCTTTTAAGGATCTTATTTCCTAAAATATAATTAATTAATTATGTATTAACACTTTTTAATAATTAACTCAAAAAATATTGAGATGCACTACATGTTTGTAAAATTCTAAGTAAAATTGTGTATATATACTTCAGAATGCAATCTCGCATCGTCTTCTGCTTCTAACCTTCGATGTCTTTCACTAGCTAGAATTTCTTGATTTTCTAGGTTTGTCTCCATTGACTTTTGTCTTATTTTTTCTAAATTTAGATCTGCATTAATCAGTTCTTCGTGTAACGTTTTTAATTGTTGACACATTTGCTGATTTTCTTCTCTAACACTGTCACGTTCCTGCCTGTGATTTAATACATTAGTAGATTACATTCTGTACTAGATTATCAGATGATAATAATGTAAACTTGCTAAATATTAATGTTACTTTAATTGATTTAATTCCATAATGGTGACTTCATCCATAGCTGTCGGTGCATTGTTCTTTAATTCGGCTATCAACTTTTCCTTTTCTTGTAAAGTTTTTAAAGCTCTAGCCTTATGCTGTTCCAGTTCAGATCTAACTAAATTTAATTCTTGTCTATTTCTATCAATAACAAATTGCAAATCCATTATTTGCTTTGACTGTTGTAATTTTTCTACTTCCAAAGCTTTTAACTTTTCATTTAAAATTACAATTTCTTTCTGATGATCTGTTTCTTGTTTTTCAAGTAACTCACTTTGTTTCTCCAAATTTCTTTCCATTTCCCTTATATATTTTTGCATAGATTTATTTTCTACTGAATTAGTGGAATTATCTAACATATCCGTTTTTTGAGTATTCGATTCTATTTTATATTTGAATTGAGGATAGGAAATATTCAAATGTTCTTCTGTTTTGTGTTCTGTAATATAAAAATATGTGTAAAACTACATATTAAAAATTACTGATATATACAAATAAAAATATACCGTTTTGTATAGCATCTGTTGTTGGTTTAGTTAAATATTCACTATTTAAGATCTGTGTTTCATTAGATAGATATAAATTTGCATTCTGTGTATCTATTTCAACATCTTTATTATCTAAAGCATTTGGAACCATTTCTAATAAAGTATGAGTTGGGATAATTTGATCGCTATGAGTTGATAATTCTGAATCTGTATCATTAGTAGGATTGTCTACTAATAATGAAGTAGTTGTTGGCAAATTAATGGACTCTGCTATCCTTTTTGGACTTGGATCTGGAGTATTAAAATATGTAAATAGCGCATCCTCCTTAGATGCCGTTACATTTAATACATTCACTGATGTTAACTTTGAAGTAGGAGTAATATAAGGGATATGATCTGACGATTCCAATAAAGGTCTTTTGGATGTGCTTCCATTTTGTCTAAAATAAAACTTATATTTTTATTTGTTCTCATATTTTCTTGCATTAGCAGCTATATCATTATGTTAAATTCATATGTTAAAAACTGCACAAGAACAATGCTTTTATAGAATAAATTTATATTCTATCACACACAAAAAATAATATAAAATGTATAAAGTTTTATTAAAATTCTCGTGAAGTGATCACTGATCCAAAAATATTTATCAAAAATAATCTGAAATTGACATGAATACAATTACCCCAATTCCGGAGAAAGCCATGTTACTTCTGTTGACAAGTGATTATGTGGCATCTCATATTTATCTTTATTTAAGACAGCCGCGGTATTCTTGTCGATTTTATTTAGTAAATTCTCTGCCTTATCAGCAAGACCAGACAACCAAGCCATATCAACGAAAATCGATCAAAAAAACTATTTGAAAATAAAATTATATTACACGTAGCGATTGTTCGATAAATCACACTTTTGTTCGCAATATAACACAACGCAATGATCACGCAATAACCACGACTGAAAATACTACCGATCACTGCTTATATATATATACATAGAAGCTGCGTTTGCTTGACGCTGTATCTGTCAATCTGTCTGGGATCTAGGATCGTAGGTACTGAAACATAGCATATAAAATACATAGATAGAACATAGAGGTATAAAGCGTCAGCTGTTGATTGCGGCAAGAGGGGAGGGTTTTTTGCTTTCTATGACATTTAAAAAATCTACAAGAAATACAAATATTAATAAATATTAATAAATGGAATTAAAAGTACATGTATTTATATATAATAAATAGCCATTTAAATGTTTTATATGGGCATTTCCATAGGAATTGAAAGCGAGAGAGCGTAAATAGAGAGAGGATCTAAGACAGATCTGCGTACTGTGATTGGTTACATACCACCAAGCTCGCGTATGTACAGTTATACCATATACTATAGATACTACGGCGATGTTCTAAAATTCACTGCTAGTACTGAAAAATCTATAGTTCACGTGACGTATATTATAGATTTCCAATATTGGCAGTGAATTTTGGAACACGACCTATATGACTACCATATATACCGTGTTCGGAGTTTGTCTGCACAAGTTGGAGATGGTTCATGTTTTTCTCTGCTTATTGATACACTGATTGATATTGACACGTTTCTCTATTACTGTTTTGAGAAGCGTTATTTGTTTTTCTTATCCTTTGGCATAAGTGTAAACTACATAATAAAATGAGTATAATACAAAGACAATTACATATATATTATTTCTTATAACGAAATATTTGTCTTACAAACTTTGTGTTTGAAACAACTAATATCTTTCTGTTATATATTAAGTATTTGACAAAATGCTTATGTATAAAAAATAAAATTGCATTATTAGATATTAAGATTGCTTTCACATTGAAATTGCAACTTATTCGTGAAATACATCATGTCTAATACACCAGGTAAAAATTTATTAAGGCCGAATAGCCTACAGTGCAAAAACCTACACGAATATTTAAAATCACGTTCTCCTGATACTCTGAATAAATTGTATCATAAACCGCCTATATGCTTGGCCGTGTTCCGCGAGTTACCCATAATTGCCAAGCATTATGTTATGAGACTACTGTTTGTTGAGCAACCAGTGCCACAGGCAGTTATAGCATCGTGGTGTTCAAAACTTTATTTCGAAGAACATCAGAAAGTGGTGCAAGTCTTAAATGAACTATATGTATGGAAAGAGGCATCTATACCTGGTGGGCTACCAGGTTGGATTCTGAACAATATCTTCAAGAAAAACTTGAAGATTGTACTGCTGGGAGGTGGTAAACCTTGGACTATGTCTAATCAGCTGGAAATTGACAGTAAACCACGCGACGTAGCTTTCTTAGATTCTTATGCATTAGAAAGATGGGAATGTGTTTTACACTATATGGTTGGTTCCCAACAGCAGGAAGGTAAGATTTCTTTCATAAATCTTTCTAAAAAGATTTAAATTTATGAATATTTTTTTGTTTATAGGAAAAATCTTAAGATTTTATGCTGATATTTACCTAAGCTATATTATATATAATATAAAGGAAATATATGTATAATCATGCTTTAAATATTTTGTTATTTAAATATAATGTTTTTAAAGTATATAACTCTGTATTTTAAATATGCTCTTCATACAAGCATATACTTTATATTAATATAAAGAAATTACAGCTATTTAATATATCTAACATATTTAAATTTAACACATTTAAATCTTTTACAATAGGTATATCTGCTGATGCTGTACGAATTCTTTTACATGCTGGTTTAATGAAAAGAGATGAAGCTGATGGAAGCCCAGTTATAACACAAGCAGGTTTCCAATTCCTTCTTTTAGATACAGCTTCACAGGTAACTATTAATTTTTATACCACTTATATACATATATATATAATTGTGCAAGTATTTATTAATTTATACATCGGAAATATTTTGCTCAAGGTATGGTACTTTATTCTGCAATATCTTGATACTATTGAGGCACGTGGTCTTGATTTAGTAGAGTGCCTCACCTTTTTGTTTCAATTAAATTTTTCCACTCTTGGCAAAGATTACAGTACTGAAGGCATGTCCGAAGGACTCTTGACTTTTTTACAGCATTTGAGAGAATTTGGACTTGTATATCAACGAAAACGTAAAGCAGGAAGGTAAATATATGTTTGCCGATGGAGATATTGTTAAAAGCTATTGATGAAATTATTAGATAATTTTTTAAAATTGAACTAAAAAGTGCAAAAAATATATTTAAAAAATGAAGTTATAATATGATTTGAATTATAATAATTGTAATATATTTTTCTATTTGCTGATTAACATTGAAATTTTGTTTTATATTAGTTTTTTGATTTAATGAGTAACGAAAATTTTTGAAAAATTGTGAGAAATTGATGTATTATGCTAAAATTTGGTTTCTGCTATATCAAAAATGAAATTTAATGAAAATTCACGAAATTTACTGCATAAATAAATTTTTATTGAAATTTGCTCAATAAAATCAATGTTTAATCAACTTTACTGAATCTTTATTAAAATTTTAGTGGAATCATAATGAAAAAGAATCAATTGAGATCTCAGTAATATATAATTTAATACTATTTCTATATGATTTTATTATAATTTCCATAAAATATCTCCATCAGAATATATATATGTAGATATAAATAATATATTACGTAAAATAATTCAAAGTTACTGATCTTTTCATTAATGGTATATTTGTTGCAAGATTTTATCCTACTCGATTAGCATTAAACATTGCTACTGGTGAAAATAAACCTTTAGCCAAAGATACAGATAAAGAAGGATACATAATTATAGAAACAAATTATCGAGTGTACGCTTATACAAACTCCAACTTACAAGTTGCATTACTTGGACTTTTCTGTGAAATATTATATAGGTATGTATGTTACATATATAGACAGACACATATAATATACACATATATAAAATTCTAAAAATCTATATATTTCTATCTATAGATTTCCAAATGTAATTGTATCAGTATTAACAAGAGATTCTGTAAGACAAGCATTGAGGAGTGGAATAACTGCTTCTCAAATAATAGGGTATATCTCACTCAATATTGAATATATATGAATATACCATTGAATAATAAAATAATATTTTGTATATTGCTTTATATATATCAATAGTTATTTGCAACAACATGTGAGCAGTCAAATGATAGAAAGAGGACCACCTATACTACCACCTACCATTGTAGATCAAATTAAACTGTGGGAAAATGAAAGAAATAGATTTTCGTTCAGTGAAGGTGTTTTATATAGTCAATTTCTTTCACAAACTGATTTTGAAGTTCTTAGAGATCATGCACTTTCTACAGAAGTATTAATTTGGCAAAGTGAAAGGTAATTATTATTTTAAAATCCCGAATATTTTACAAAATATAAATAGTTTATTATGTCATACAAATATCACAATTGAGACACTGTATCTTTATCTTGTAGGAAAAGAACCATGGTAGTCACCAAAGCTGGTCATGACGATGTAAAAAAGTTTTGGAAGCGATACTCAAAGGGTTCAAGTTAATATTGTATTAATAAAATCTAGTTATAAGCATTCTACATACATTATTGTTATGTTTCTTAAATAACAATACTACAAAAAAAAATATTCTCAAAAAAGTGCCTAGAAAAACTGAAAAATTCTTATTTTCTCACTCTAATAGATTGAGGAAATAACTTCTTTTAATCAATGCCAAAGCTTTTCTCAGGTCGGACTAGGTTTTGATAATGCGATTATGATATAACGAATTAATGAAGTAAATTTTTATATATATTTATATAATAATATTGTCTCTATATTTTGTATATTCCTATCAATTACAAAATTTGTAAGACAAAAAATTATTTAAAATTCGATAATTCGATTTATTATAATAAAACTTGTTGCAATTTTGTACATCATAATAAATGAATTTCATATTGGAAAGAATTTAACGGTCATATTCCGACATTCTTTTAATTTAAATTTTTATAATAAATTTAGTACTCAATTCATCCTCGATATCACATGCTTCGAATTAACACTTGTGATGGAAAAATAAATCAACATATTTACACACACAATACTAACATTCAATATATATAGATACTGAAATTAGCATGCATTTGAACAAATTTTTACAAATTGATAATCCATTATACATATATATTAGATATTCAAGAAAATTTAATTAAATTCTATTATTATCAGATGTAATGTTTCATAACTTTTGGCAATCTGCTATATCGAATATTGAGGATAAGATATAAGAAAATTAAGTGAAGCATTGTTATTTGTCACATAGTTTAAAATATAGCTTTATGTAGGGATAAAAAAGTGTCTTCTGCAAAAAAATAAATGCAGAACAATATTCGTTGTCAACTCTATACATCTCTAATAGCGATATATATGGGAAAGACATTTTTAATTGAAGTATTCACTATGTATTAGCATGAATTCCAAACATTTGGCGAACAGGGAACTTGATGTCAACGTTGTGGTGCTGCTTTTGGTTTTGGCATTTTAGCCAATAAACCTTGAATCTCATTCTTTTCATCATATCTTTTCCACAATTCATACAGATTAATTATATATCGTGCTATTTCTTGGATTTTTTCCATATCTGCATTTAATTCTGCAAACCATGATTTAAGATCTTTCTGCAATATCACACAGGCTATTTGCAGACAACCTATAAAAAATATAAACTGTTAAATATAAATGATTTTTTTTTTTTTTTTGTAATACGCTAGATTATAAAAATATTATTGCTTACCAATAGCTATTTGATAAGGTGGATATAATAAACATACATCTGTTCTTAAACTGTCATTAATAATACGCCATGCAAGAGTAAGTAATTGATCATCTGGTCCCACATCCTGAATTAATGTTAACAAGGGACGGTATGGTTGATATACTATTAAACAACAATCCAAATGTTCCAAAAGATAAAATTCACACTCTAAAATGTGATTTGTACGATAAGGAAATTCTTGCGTATATGCATAATTAAACTTGTTCTTAACTAAAAAAAGAAACAATAAAATGGATTTTCATTAGTATATTAATAATCAGTAAACTATATAATAGTACATATAATATATCTATAGAACTTACCTACAGTTCCCATTGTTGTTATTAATCTAGTATTGGAAATTACTCCAAACTCTTCTACTTTTGATGCCAAAAAGACTGCTGTAGGAGCTAATAATAGAGGATCTATACATTTTAAGCTATTGCGAGCATAAAATCTTTTAAAATAAACTGTTGCAGTAGCTATCACTTGTTGCCTCAACTTCAATTGTTCACCTAACATTTGTATCACTAATAACAGATGAATATATATAATTATATATACATATAGACTGCATTATATTTATAATTATAAAATATGATTGTATAATCTTTAAGAGAAATACACGAAAGAAATAGTTTTCTCTCTCCCAGCTAAGTAAAATTATTATATATGAATCTCTCAAAATTATTAATATCAATTTTATATTTTGACTGACATGAAATCATAAAATACAGATCTAAAAACTTAACAATCTGTCAAGATTGTAAAAAGATACAAATACAAGTTGTTTTTTCATCTAATAAATATCTCACTAGATTTGCAATTTATCATTTCAACTTACTATTAGAAAAGAAAATGAATATTTTCTGATATTCTTCCTCCGTTAATATTGCTAAATCATGTTGACGTTCTCTAACCAAATCTTGTTTATCCAGTAACCATTGTTGGCTATTAAAAATAAAAAATATAATGAAAACTGCATTCTGTAAAAATTTATTATGATATAATATGCAAAAATTAACTTACTGATGTGAACTTTGCCAGAAATTACCAGCCATTTTGTAAATAAATTATTCAATCCTAAATTGTGATGCGTCAAATGGTACTAATTGTTAGAAGTCCTAAATCTTGCTTCGGGTAATAATGATTTTCATTTTTTTTTCACCGAATTTATTCTAAATTTTCTTGAAACAGATATAAAAGCTAATGAACTTAATTGTGTTTTCGGTATGAGTTATATAGAAAAAGATGACTTACAATTATTTTTAACGAAGAAAAACAATTATAATGCATATAAAAACAATTATTCGGATTATAAATAGAAAGCAACAATATCAAGCAAGAACAGAATTTGTTGTTACTCCATACCATGAAGACTAGAGACTTAAAAGAGCATCAACTATCGCTGCCACGTGGATAAGTCAAGAAACGTCATTATCAGCTGGCGCTACTATTCACAAATGTGTGGCAACTCTAGGAGTTTTATTCGATGTTGAATTTGACTAATCAGAACAAAGGAATTAAAATTTCCTTCTTCTAATTGGTCAAATTTCAATCTTCAATGTATAGTCTGATATGAGCTATACGGGCTTTAGAACCGGCTCTTACACTCTCTTATACCACCTATACGCATACTGAACGGTGGCAAAATAATGGAATAATAACAATAAGCCAAGAAATCACATTGACAATGTTATTACAATAATATTTTAAACATGTAATATTTCTATATAATATATATATAATAATTTCGTATATTGTATAGATAGTTTCATATTTTATTATACATAGGAAATTGTCATCTGCGCCTGCCGTCATTCGTCACGTAATATCTGCCTATCATGAGGGATCGAAATATTAATGTTTGTAAAAGTACATGTGATGGGCTACTAAAATTAAGAAAGACATATCTAAAGAAATTCTACTGCATTGCGTCAATGGTAAGGTATTTTCAACTAAACAGTACAGATATATATACAGTCTGCCTTATTTTTTGTGCATAATTTTTGGCACCCGAACATGTTTTTTGATTATGGTATTTCTTATAATTCTTAAAAGGCAATAATAATTAATAAAAACTTCTCATAAATCTCCTGACAACACTAAAGCCGGTCTTTTTTAATTGAAATGCCGAAGTTTAAATATAAACAAAGAGATTTTTGCTTCCAGCGGATTAAATTTAATTAAATTTAATCTAGTTAAAAGCCAGATTAATTTTTCGAATTCTTGAAAAAATGGATTTTACGAATAGGCTCTGCTATATAATATTTAGTTCTTTTCTATATTTTAATAATATATGTTTTATGAGTAGTATTTATACGCCGTAACAACC